CTCATCATGACCCAGAGGCTGTGCATGCAGATGGTGGCGGGCGCCCTGGGCCTGGCCCTGCTCCTGTCCCTGCAGCTCACGTCGTTAATCTTCACCCTGCCATTCTGCGGACACCGCCGGGAAATCAACCACTTCCTCTGTGATGTGCCTCCAGTCCTGAGCCTGGCCTGTGCTGACATCCACGTGCACCAGGCTGTCCTCTATGTCGTTGGCATCCTCGTGCTGACCATCCCCTTCAGCCTTATTTCCATCTCGTACGTGTTCATCACCGCCGCCCTCCTGCGCATGCGCTCTACCCAGGGCCGCCGCCGCGCCTTCTCCACCTGCTCCGCCCACCTCACCGTGGTCCTGCTGCAGTACGGCTGCTGCGCCTTGGTGTACCTGCGTCCCCAGTCCAGCTCCTCGGTGGATGAGGACCGCCAAATCGCCTTGGTCTACACCTTTGTCACCCCCTTACTCAACCCTTTGATTTATACCCTTAGGAACAAGGATGTCAAAGGTGCTTTGAGGAATGCCATCGTCTGTCGTCAGTAGAGCAGCCTCTGAAACCAATTGAAGGTTTGGGGGAACTGGGGTGGGTGTCGGTCAGTTGTTATGTCAATAAACTCTAAACGACAAACATAGAATTGTAATATTTACTTTCCCATGCTTTGCACCTGATATTTCATTTTTGCCATATTTGCCCCATGTCCACAATCTGCACTCATTTTCCTGAGGTACTTCAAATAAGATTTGAAAATTTGGACAAAACGTCCAATGTAGGAGCTCTGGTCTCCTTAGCCCTACTCTGAAGATTGTCAGCTTGCCAGTGGCAACTGCTCTGTCAGGAACGCCCCATACACACTGCGAAAAAAGGTTAATACCTTTAGACATGCTGCCTCCTGAGGAGGCAATGATATTAATTTATTCTGTGAAAGGTGCCTTATGTAAGGAGTATTTATAAAGACATATACTGTACCTGAAGAAATATATTTTATATTGTTTTATATAAGTCAATGTGTGGAGAACGATAGCCTATTTAATGCATCAATTTCCTTAACTCCATACATCCCAGCTGGGTGCCTTCATTTTCTTATATTCTGACATTCCAGGGAGTGTAGAGGATTCTTAAAGCAAATGCACCTCACAGGGCCTGGTTTTTCAAAGCC